ATGATGTCCTCCTCGCCCGACTGGCCCGGCAGCGGGGCCCGCCTCCGGCAGCAGTCCTCCTCCTCCAAGGGCGACAGCCCTGAGATGAAGCAGCGCACGATGCACAAACAGGTGAGTCTGGGGGCTGTGCCAGCCCCGGGTGTCGAAGGGGCCAGGCAGGGGTCAGCACGTGGACTCGGAGAAGACACTGGCTGGTGGGGATTGCTGCAATGGGAGGGGACGTTATCCTGGCTTTGGGTTACCACATCAGCGCCAACCCCATGGTGGCGTTGCATGTGGGGATGTACCTTGGCTCTTGCACCCAGCTTGGCCTGAGACGGAGGCCCTCCGGGGAAGGGGACACAGACCGGTGTTTGTTCCCTGCGTTCCTCCGTTGCGTGGCATGTTGGCGTGTGACTGCCGCAAGGCGGTAGGTGGCAGAGACACGAGGGCGATGGCAGCCGTGCCTCTGTCCTGCGCTACCATCTTGTCACTGCTTTGCCTCTCCATGCCCAGGCTCTCATCCCATGCCATAGTCAACCCGCGCCATCTCCCAGACTGGGACCAGGCCCTACTTTCTTCTTGCAACTAAGAGTCTCCCTGCTGCCACCCCGTCCCAGCGGAGCCACGGCCCTCCTGGACACTCCTGTTTGTTTGCTCTGTGAGACCCTCCTGTAAACACATCTGGGGAGGCGAGCGTGGGGAGGAAGGAGCGTGCTCCCCGCTGAGAGCGAAGGTCCTGCTGTGCAGAGCTCTGCGGTGATCCGGGTCCCAGACCACATGCTGGTCTGCACAGAAACGAATTTCACTTGTCCGTGGAGCCAGAATTGAAAGCAGCAGGTCGCAGACCCAGGGCCCTCTGGTTTTCCTGGCATGGATAAATTGTTTTTCTAGTGGTCATTTATTCATTCTACATTTCAGAACTAACCCTATAGAAAGTTAACACAGTAGGGCCTCTCAGTGCCGAAAGGAAGAGTTTCAAAAATAATGCAAACCCAGGGAATGTGGACAACTGGCAAGAGCTCGCTGCATCTCGGCCCAGACACGGTGCTAAGGCACCTTTTCAGCAGTGCGGTGTTGAAGGAGCAACAGAGTTGGTGTAAATACCTCTCCTTGGCAGGGCAGCCACGGAGGCCGTCGCCAGTGCTGCCCATTGCAGGCTGTTGTATCTGAGCTGGTCTGTGCATGCGGTATTGATTCACAAGCACTGGCATTAGCAAGCACGCCGTGTAGCCGCATTTGTATAAAGTGGATCAATACTCATTAGGTACAGAGGGCACCGAGCTCTGCGAGCGGCAGCAGCCTGTTTGGTAGCAGAGTTTCTTGCAGAAAGAGAGAACGGTGAACTCCGGGTGACCTTCGGAAAGCCCTGGCCAAGTTGTGTTTGCAGATCTTTCCTCCACCCACTCCTATTGTCCTCTCAAAGTTTCTCTCAAGACCTGAAGTCCTCAGAATGCCTCTCCTACCCTTAATCTGCGTATTTTAGTTGTAGGTTAGCAGCATCTGTGAACCATAAGAAAACTGCTTGCTCGTAGTTGGTGGTATCAAATGCTGTTTGAGAGCAAAGAAATCCTCTTTGGTGGCCATTTTAGTAGAAGTCATGAACTTCGCTCCTACCAGCCAGAAGCGCTTCCTCTACCTCTGTGAGTTCATCTGCTGAACTGACTTCCAGACCATCCCAGGCCAGATCAGATGCCCTTTTTTTATGTCTTCAGAGGCAGAAGAAAGAGGCAGGAGGACTCGTGCACAGTGGGCTGAGCTCTGTTCATTGACAGCCTTGGAGCAGTGGCCCTAACACTGCTGAAATGAGCCTGGCTGGCCAGTGCTCCTCAGAGCCAGAAATTTTGAGCAGCCGCCACAAGCGCAGTGCCCGAGCTGGAGATGCGCGACAGAGCAGAATGCCGCAAGGCGGGTGAGGTTTTGTAGCAAGTGATGTTCGTGAGCCGAGTCCGAAACGTCCCGATTTAAAATGCTGGAAGTAGAAGACCAGACTGGAAGATGGCATGGGAAAGCCCCCAGCCCCAGTGAGGTGAATAAACCAGTCCCCACTCCTTCCAAGTACAGAACCTCCCGTTCTGCCACTTGCCAGCGACTGGGTTTCTCTGCTGTCCTGAGGTTTGAATGGAGGCGAAAGTCCCCAACATTTCTGACTTGTTAACTTGAATTCCCTTGACCAAGTCATCCAGATCCCTCGTGCTCATCCAAGAAACTGTTTACTGCAGTTTATAATGAGCCAGGACGGAGGGGAAATAGCTGGAGATTCACTTCCTCAACCTTGTAATGTGGCTGGAAAATATTTCAGCAATGCCATTTGCAGTCCTGCCCAGGCGGGGAGTGAAAAGCAGCAGCTCTGTCTCACTGGCCGTAGAACAGCACTGCTCCTTGAGCTCCCATAGCTACATGAGCAAACCGAGAGATGAACTCCTAAGATGTCGGGCATTTAGACCTCTCCAGCATCGTTAAGTGTAGTCTCAGCCAAAAAGAAACCGACCGTTTCCAAGAAGGCACCGGCATGACCAAAAGTAGCGTTTCAGTTTGCAGATCTGGTTTTATGTGTACGAAATCTCCACAGCAAGGCAAAAGACGGCTCAGTAAAAGAGGCTGAAGAGTTGAGTGAAATCTCTGCGGAGTGAATATGTCATATCTGAGCCACTCTGTTCACCCGCAGCTCTGTGCTGCTCAGGCCGTGTCCTCCTGAGGTGACGGGACCTGCTCCGAAACCCGGCCTGGGGTGGCACAGGGAAGAACCCAGCCTCTCAAAGGCTGTTTGACCTAAAATAACGTGAGGGGCAGACCAGGAGCTGTTCCAAACCCCAGCCCCGACCACTCTGGTAGCTCAGACTGTTCGTTGCTGTTTGAGCAGCATGGGAGAGGGCGTGCTTGGAAGGCAATTCTCTCTCTCTCCAGCTTCATGACCATTTCTGTTACAGGTTTTTCTTTTGTTATGGTTGTATGTTTCATTGTAGGCCCCTTCTCCTGTGAACCCCAATGCCCTGGACCGCACTGCTGCTTGGCTTTTGAATATGAACATGCAGTTTTTAGAAGATGAAAGCATTGACCCAGATTCCAAGCACAGGGATAAGCTCAGGAATAAGGACGAGCTCAGCCAAGCAGAAAAGGTAAAACCTGATTGGATTGAAACAAGTTTCTAAACAGAGAGAGGATTTCCTTGAATGTCGCTCATCTGAGCACCCTGGGGACAAGGTGGGCTGTGTGGCACGTCCCTGCCCAGGAGAGAGGGGCGTCAGGTTGCTCTGTGCCCTTCTCAGCCTCACAGGGCACTTCTGGGGAAGGTTTGGGAGGTTTTCACACGCTCAGTGAATGGAATTACCCTCTGATGAAAGTGAGTCAGAAAAACAGGAGCCAGGAGTCAAGTGCTGGTGCTGCTCCGCAGCAAACTCCGAAGGCAGCCAGTGCCCATTGCTTCCCCCATTCCTACTCCCCCCGGCTGCAGGGGGAGAAAGCTTAAAAAGTGAATTAAGCACACCTATAAAAGAGATGAGAGTAAGGTACAGGCAGCCTCCTGCCTCTCAACAAGGACTTGTCAAAAGGCTGTAAACAGACCTAAAAAATTAAGTCCAGATTCTGGTCTCAGAGACAGCACTGGGGCCTGGGGTGACTTCACTGGTGCAGTGACACTGCCCCGAGCTCATGTCACAGCTCGTGTCACACAGACCAGGGCCTGACCAGTCTGGAGCTCTGTCAGGACATCAGTTCCAGAGCAGTCAGTCCGAGCCCACCGTCCCAGAGTCCCTGTGCTGCTCACGTCCCCCCTTCCCGGAGGAGCCTGCGGTGGGACAAGCAGGGAAGAGACCGAGTAGGCCTGGCCAGGGGTGAAGGAGGGTCAGAAATAAGGATGCAGTCAAGAGCTGAGAAAATCCCATCTTTGCTGATTGCTGCTTGTGCAAGGTGCTTTCTCAGCAGCCTGGCTCTGCCAGGACTGCTGCAGTTGGGCACAGTTACCATTTGGGATGTTTCCTCAGCGTGCTGCTCTTCTGGCACACCGGCCATGTGCTACCGCCCGCTCCCACAGAACAGCAGACGTCGCCCTCCCTGAATCTCTTCCCTGTTTTTCCAGCACAGACACGTTTCTGGTTTTGTTACAATAGCCTTCCTGTTCTCATTGTGCTGTGCTGTATCGTTTTGGGACTGTCCCCTATTAAGTTCAGGTGAAGTGCCATGGGCAGGTTTGGCAGGGACTGGGAGGTACAAGGCGACGGCTCCCGGCTGCCCCGGGAAGAGCACGGCAGAGCTTTGTGAGAGTTCAGCCCCTTTCCTACTGGCTTTCTGCTCCTTGGGTATTCCTGTAAAGACACAGACGTGGACTGATCAGACAGCAGCTGAGACAGAAGCACGTACATGTTTAGCAGAGTTGGTTTGCAGAGGTACAGAAATCTCGACTACCACCTAAGCAGAGACACTAGTAGGCAGCAAGTCAGAGAGAAGGCGTTCTCGGACCGGTGCGTCATGCACTGGGTTGTTGCTGCGTTTAGTCATTGAAGGACTTGTAAACAGTGCTCATTCGAGTCTGTAACTGGGACACCAGTGGCAGGCTTTGCTGTTCCGGTGGAACTGGAGCGATGGGAGGTGCCAAAGGAGCACACGTGCCAAGAGCGGTGTGCTGGCCGCCTCCGGCCCACGCCTGCCAGCTCCCGCCGGCGGGCAGATGGCCTCCGGTGTGGACGCGGTGCATGCCAAGCGTTGTCACTAATCCCCTTCCTGGCGCCCTTTCCTGTGAAACGGGCTCGGCTTTTACCAGGTGGGCACTCACAGGGGGCCGTTCTCTTGCCACGCTGGCCCAAGGGGCCGCTGCCCCCCGGGATGTGCCCAGCTGGCCCCATCCTGCGGGCCCTGCTCTAGGTGCCCGAGGGTGGGATTAGCAACTCTGAGGGTACTGCAGCAAACCGGTCCCTGTCCCGAGCTCGGAGGGAGCCCCCACCCCCGGAGCCTGCCGTCTCATTCCCATGCAGCATCTTTTCTTACTTTGCTGTCACATCAGTCACTGACATTAAAGACCGCCATTAGCATAATCTCTCCCCATTACTGTAAGATGTGAATGGTAACCGAGAATGAGACAAGTGTTCTAGAGACAGGAGCGACTCCTTCGGTCTCTGAGGCCTCTCCTGCTATCATTTGAGCTCACTTACGCTGCTCCTATTTTAAGGCTAGGGTAGGTATTTAATCTTTCCTGTTCAAGCAACTCCCTTCTGTCTGACTTCAGTGCTTCTGTGCAACTGTATGGGCGTCTGTGTTCCCTCATCGCTCCAGGTTACATGTGCAAACTGTGTTGTTTCGGTGCCGCAGTAAAAGCTTTGCTAAAGGAAAAACAGAGTCATCTGTTGTGCCCGTCCCTGCCCAGGCAGAAGGAGCTCAGGGGTCCTGCCCATCTCCTCGCCACGGCTCGAATACTTTGGCAATTCAGGAGGACCATCAGCATCAGCAATTTTCAGTCCCTGGGAGTTACAGTTACTTCTGCTGTCAGCCGGTCAGTTCATGCCGTGGATTTCCGTGGGCTGGGGGTCCAGCTGAGCGGGACACGGGCAGCAGCCCGGCTGCCTTCCGCTCTCACCAAGAGCTGATCTGCTGCTCCGGCTCCCCCGCAGGACTCTCAAAGCTGGGACACGACCAGGTCCATCGTTTGAGTGCTTACACGGGTGGCGATGGCCGAAGGGGAAGGCTGTATTTTCAGCTAGCCAAGTCAATACACAATTAAGCGCATTTTTATCAGTTCATGAATAACACTTGTAGCTTTGTAACAGACTTTCTGAGTCAGATGGAAGTCTTTTTCCCATATCTGGCTCTTTAAAAGCAGCTTGTCAAATTGTCAGTTGCATGTTAATTCTAAGGTTACTCCAGTTGAGATTTTTTTTTTAAAGACAACTTTCAAAGATAATTTTTTAAAATAAAGTGGGTTTCTTTGTACAGATACATACCAAATTTTCCTTTAACAAAGCAAGTAGTACTGAATGCTGTGCTTCTGCGATAGCTGAACCTACTTTTACTGAGTTAGAAAGCTCTTAATTTTTATAATTGCTTTATGTGATGCTTCTGCTGCTGATTTTTAGCTTCATCTGAATGAACAGTACAACTGTGGGGTCTTGGCTTCACACAGCAGCTCTTCTCAGATTGAACCCTAGTTTGGTGTCTGATGGCGTTGTTTAAGATGCTGGGCTCCAAAAGGCAGTATTGCCCACTGCCCCCGCTCCCGCCAGCCAGTTGCCCTCGCCTCGGTGAGGGGTGACCACTGTGCCGAGCCGGCAGTGGCCTGCGCCTGTCCCTGCTGCTGCCTGGCAGGAGACACGTGGCACTAACAGCTCCTGCTTGGCCTCCAGCAGCTCCCAAACACCCACATTTATTGTTGTAGACTGAAGAGCTCATGTGTAAACCCAAAATCCCACCAGTGCAGCTTCTTCTGCCCGTGCTTAGCCCCGCGCTGTTAGTGTGAGGAAGATGCCGGATGCGTTTGCCGTTCACTCGCTCTAACCTGCATTCCCCGTGTGAAATGCCAGACTCTGCTAACAACCCATTCTCTGAACCTGCCAGTGACCTGCCCGCCCAGTGGAACGCAGCATCGCTCCTAGTGCAGTGTGGAGAAGACTGAAGAGGAGGTGTCGGCAAGCGGGGTTATCTGACACGGGTTTGCAGCTAGTCTAATGCAAGGAGAGGGGCGTAATCGGGTTATGGGGAAACCCTTTCAAGGGCCAAGCCCTACTAGGTAACATGCCACATGTGTTTTCTCCTCCTGTGTCTGTCCTTGCGTGCTGTAGTACCAGCAGGACCTGGTGGTGCTGCAGGACAAGCTTCGCATCTCCAACAAGAAGCTGGAGGAATATGAGACTCGCTTCAAGTGCCAGGAGGAGACAACGCAGAAGCTGGTGCTGGAGTACCAGGCCAGGCTGGAGGAGAGCGAGGAGCGGCTCCGGAGACAGCAGGAGGATAAGGAGATCCAGATGAAGGGCATCATCAGCAGGTACAGGGGAGGTGGGAGTGCTGGAGATAGTAAGGCAGGCAGCCTGGCTGCAGTTAGAGTAAAGATCTCATGTCGCCATCCCATTACTCCTAGCTGTAAATCCCAGTGCGATGTGATGTTTACATCTGTCCGGGACATAGACTGTTCTCTGGTGCAGCCAGCTTCACCTTAACCTGAGCCGAGCCCACGGAGTGCTTTTAATCAGCCCTCATGGATGGGTCAGCCTTCGCTGTTCTGTACCACAGAAGCTTTGGGACAGTCTGCTGTAGAGATCTCTAGAGAAGAGTAAGAGAAGAAGACCAGTTCTGAACTACTGGGTTGTGTGTAAGAAGGGGTAGTGCCAATGACAGTGTGTCTCCGTTGGGCTCGAATGCACAGCTGTGGGTCCTGGGAGCATCTCGGTGTGTGCTTTGGCGTTGCAGTTTCAGATGAGATGGTTTGACCTGGTATGGGTGATGGGCACTGCTGTGTGAGGGCAGTTCTCTCTGCAGACTGGCTTCTCTGCTATTTCCCATCCCTTCCTGTGTGCTTCAGAGATGTACATCACATCACCCCTTTGCTCCCTTGGTGTCAAGGACTACATGAGGACATGATCTGTGTCATTCACTCTGGGTGGTTGATTTAGATGTGTATGAAACTAATATCTGGGCTTAGCAGAGCCCAACAAATGTAATTTTTATCTTGTCTGTTTGGTTACCAGACTGATGTCAGTTGAGGAGGAGTTAAAGAAGGACCATGCAGAAATGCAGGCTGCTGTGGATTCCAAGCAGAAGATTATTGATGCACAGGTGAGTCCGCGATACCAAGGGCTGCAGCGCTTTTCAGGGTGCGTCTGCCAACATGCAGCCTCCCTGCCGTGCGACAGCGCCAGCGCAGTCACGGCGAGACCGTACGCGTGGGTGAGTCAACACCAAGCTGCAGTCAGGGACAGAGCCGGTCAGACTTCAACAGGATGCGATTTATTGTCACAGCATTCGCATTCGTACAGCTGCTTCCAGCCTTGGAGCTTGGCAGGTGACACAGAGGATGGGGGGGTGGCAGTTTGTGGAAGGATCGTGCCCACAGTCAGTCGGTTTTGGGGAGGGTCATATCCTTGTTGGTTCAGTCTGAGGTCCCCAGAGCTTTGCGTGGTGCTTCATGTTCCAGTAATTCTTGCAGGACCTGGATACAAGAAACACAAAGCCTGGCCAGAGCAAAGCCAACTTGTTTTTTCAGCCTTTGGGTTGTGGCTTGCAGAATCGTTAAGCTCAGTTGTTGCTATAGATTACGGTGGCAGAGGAGCATCAGCTGATGGGTGCAAAACACTATGCTTGGGAAAGGGAATATGTAAATGCGGTCCATAATCTTTTTATTTGTCGGCAGATATCAGCATCTTCTCAGCATCTAGGCCTTCCTACAGGTTGTGGCTAGGTGATAGTATATTCTAGGCTTGTTCTTAACAGCCCTATTAAGCACCTGTGAGTCACTACTCATGACTAATTTACTGTACAGCTAATTAAAAAGGAGATGAGAAGTAGTAACTTCGTAAAAAAGGAATCACTTTTTTTCTGCAGAGTAATTTGTTCAAAGCTAGTAAATCATCACGTTCCCTTCTGCACGCTGGCAAAGCCGAGCAGATACAGGGGTGTCCGTAAGGTGTGAGCGGTGCAGCCTGCAGCCTGCCAGCGGCTCTCAACGGGCTGTCCCGGCTCCTGCCGCCCTGTGTGTTACGTGTGAGGCTCTTACCATGAGCCAGTCTACACTCTTCTCTTTTTGTCATCTCGGGCTGTACGGCAGTGTTGGACATGTTCGTACATGGACCTTCGGAGTTAGACACAGGCAAACTACTGTGCCCCTCTGAGTTGTTTCTGTTCCCTCCTGCTAATGGCAGACAGAGAAGGATGATGACTTGTTCAGTGTCGCAGAGAACAGGAGTGGCAGAAGCAGGCTGCAACACGGCAGCTCATGCTCCCATCCTTACGATACTGTAATCGGTGAGAGTTGCCATCAACGCCATCCTGGGAGGCCACAAGTCATTTAAACTATTAATTTACAGTAACAAAATCAATTAAACACTGACAGGAATAACTATCTTGGGAGAGCTTGGTTTTAGAAAAGGGATCTTACCATCGTTGTAACAGTTGCAGTCAGAGCAAACAGTACAATGAATTTCTGTGTAACCGAAGGATTAGAGAAACTATATTATCTCCATTTTCTTCAGGATGCTAAAATGAATTTAGCCGACATTGCACAGGCAGAGTACCTTTGTGGCCCTTCTAATAGAAGCAGATTTCAAAAAATGCTCTGTAGCACTTAAAAACCCCACAGCTAAGAATGCCGCAGAGAAGGGTGCTGGTCCAGGAGGCCTCTGGGTCGCTGTCTGAGGACGAGCCCTGGCGTCACGGCGGGACAGGGCTCCGTGCCGCTCCACTGACTCTTCCCCTCTGCCTCTTCGGTTGCAGGAGAAACGCATTGCTTCATTGGATGCTGCCAACGCACGGTTAATGAGTGCCCTTACTCAGCTGAAAGAGAGGTACAGCATGCAGACACGTAATGGGATCTCCCCCACAAACCCAACTAAATTGCAGATTACAGAGAATGGAGAATTCAGAAACAGCAGTAATTGTTAACCCGTGGAGGGCGCTGCCGCAGGAGAGGAGGCCTGGCCAGAGAGACCGTGCAGCAGCAGGTGTGAGCCCCGGCTTCAAAGAACGGCTGCTCTCTCCCCCCAGAGAAACCAGCTCCTTGCTGCGGACGGCGCGCTTGACTGAGCCTTTGTGGGAGATGCTAATGCCAGCACATTGAGGGGACGGGAAGAGCGAGTGTGAGATGAGTGGCATAAGGAAATAACATATATTTGAGAATCGCTGTCACTGTTGGATTTAAATCAGTGTTTAATGTTTAAACAAAAGTAACCTTTTCCTTCTAAACTGCCCAAAGGATATGCCTCACCCCTCCCAGCAAGGAATAACGTCCTTGTCATTGCAGTAAGCGAAATGAAGGGAGCTGGGCAGAGCCTGCAGCAGGCAGTGGCCCAGTAAGTCCAGTTAAAGTGTGCTGCTGGACGCAGCCGTACGAGGGGGCGCAGCGAAGCTCGGCCCGCTCCTCCTGCCTGCCCCTGGAGCACAGCCCTCTCCCAAAGCAAACCCCGAGCCGTCTTTCTCTACGTGGCTTTTGGGAGGCCGCCGACTCTTGCAGCGGGTGACTGTCCACAGGGCATTTACGTGGCTAATTAGTGCTTAATTCACTCCGCCCGTATAGGGAGCGCAGCCCCGATGAAAGGTCAGGGCGCACTCTGTGCGATGTGGTAGCCAAAGGGGTGCTGCGCGGGGAGCCGCGGTGGCAGGGCACTGGAGAAGGGCATGACTGGTCCTGCTGGGGCTCCTGGGGGTCCCTGGGCAACCCCGGGGGAGCGGAGCGAGCCCCCGGCTCTGGCACGCCAGCGGAGGGAGGAGCTGGCACCCGGTGAACGGTGGCCTGAGCGTCCTCCCTCCAGCTTCTGCTCGCTCACTAGTAATGGGGAAGAGTCTTTGTAAGCAATAGCCCCCGGGGCACTGTCCCCGCACACTCTTCTGGCCACAGAGTAAGGTCAGTGTTGCCCGAGGTTGGCCCCGAGCTGTGGAGCAGGTACAGGGCTGGATGTCCCGGTGCCTTCTGTGGTAGAGGGGGAGCGAGGGGCTACGCGAAACGGCCAGCTTCTCGCTTGACAAAGGGCGCGTTATGGGGATGTAATGCTCTGTGCAGAGATTTTTGCTATTTCTGGGGAGAAAAACAGACAAAGAAACAAGAAAAAGCCCTGAAGAACCATGAAGATCGGTAATTGTATTTCTTTTCTTTCACAGTATGCATTAGAAAAAAAAAGATCCCATTTTCTGGAATACTGTCCTCTTTAAATTGGGAATGAGCACTGCATGGAAATTAACCGGCTCGAAGAATGTAAAACATGGTCATAAGGGAGTAACCAACAGGAACAGCAGCCACCACCGAAAGCCCCCTTGTCAGGAGCACTGTGCAGGCATAAGCCAGGATTAGACTTTCCCAACTGCTGAAACGCAGATTCGGCACATTCAGACACGTTGTGCTCAGCGGAGGGGTCACCTCCTTAACGGGGGATTGTGCCGCTGACCTGCCGCCACGGTGTGTTTGTTGCTTTGTGGTTTTTGGTTGTTTTGGTTTTTTTTTTAAGTTAGTACTTCATGACTCCCACTCTCAGAGCAGGTCACTCGTACCAAGAGCCAGAGAGCTCTCTGAGACACGGATGACAGTGTACAGTGTACAGGACATCTGCCTATTCCTCCCACTAAAGTTTAATGCACTGCTCAACGCCTGTCCTAGCTCCTCCCGCCATGTGTAAATGTACAGTCAAAGGGACTAGGATGTTCACTGGGCTCCGCACAGCGTAGGTACCGTCTCCAGCCTCCCGCTGCCGAGGCTGCCCGAGCAGGACGCTGTTTGCCAGTAAGCTCTGCATTGCCATGCTGCCCCGCAGCCGTAAGGCTCGTTAACAGCATTCTTCCACATGCAGTTGTTTTCAAAACTAAAGATGCTTTTTTTTGTTTTTTCCTAAACGTTTTTCTGTTCGCCGGAAGCCCTGGGCCAAGCCCGGTGCGGCTCGGTCCTTGGAGGAGCGAACGTGTTGCACTGAGGTCTCCACAGCCCGCCAACGCCTGCAGAGGGGCGCAGTCGCACCGCAGACCCCAAGCGGAGCTCCTCAGAGAAAAGTAATAACTAAGTATTTATGACGAGTACAGTCACCTTTGAATTTTGGAGACTAGCACAGATGGCTTTGAAGAACCTCACAAAACTGACAAGGTTACAACTGGAGAAAGACCCAGACAGGTTAGGAGTGCACAGGGTACTGTGAACCGTTGGGTGCGTACACTTGCAGCCGCCATTGGCTCAGAGTCAAATACATGATAAGAACCCTGCAAAAAGACTTCCTTTAACCACTGTTGCCCTGAGATGTACGTTTAGAGCTGATTCTTTCTGAGTTCCAAAATATTGGTGTTGCGAGAGACGGAAGTTTTTCAAGAGAGAAGTAACGTAGAGGAATGGAAACGCTAGCAGGGCCCGGGGGCGGGCGCCCCACCAGCAACAGGTTTCCATTCATGGAAATAATTTTGGGATGCAGTCAGTGCTCTCCGTAAGAGCTGGAAAAAAGAAACGGCCACAAAACAGTTGTTTAGTACTGAAGCTAAGCACAGTACATCTTCTCCTCAGCCACAGCCAAGGCACTGCTCCCCCCGCCCTGATCTGTCAGAAACTCCTGCTTAACCTCAAACTTGCAAATGACCGAACACACGCCGTTCTGCTGCAACAGCAGGAACGCTTAAATCCTTCCACAGCGAGTTATTAAAAATCTTAGAAGTTCCAGTGCTTCTGCAACCTTCTGGAGTTGTTGCTTAGTTTCCTGAGCCAGTATGAAAAGAAATTGCAATCAGGACGAAGTCTCGTTACAGTAGAGATCCCCCCCTTTCCCCTTGTCTCCGTCCCCTGCAGCGGTCAACAACTGGACCTGAGCGTGGCGCTCCCCTGCCGAGGCTCGGGGGCGGGTGTTCAGATCCAGGCTCAGTTCAGTTCTGTTACTTCACTTTGTGTTTCTGTTATTTATAAACTGTACATTTCTCTGTGTGTGTGTGTGTGGTGTGCGTGTGTGTGTGCGCGCACGCGTGCGTGTCCGAGCGCGAGGGAGCCGGCGCGAGCCCTGCCTGCCCGGGTCACCCGCCGTGGCCTGGGAGCTGGTACCCGGCGTAGCAATACCGGCGGCACCCCCAGGAGGTGCCTGCAGCACCCCGGCAAAGCAGCCACTACCCGTAGCGTTTTTGTGATCGGCTCCATTTTCTTTTTCGGTCTTGCGCTTTCTACAGTAAGAGGCTGTTCTAGTGCAAACTCGTCAAAGTGTAAACAAAATGAAAACACACTCAGATTTTTATCTTAATACGAGTCTTAATATTTTTTTTTGTAAATGTTTTCAGTGTTTACTGTACCGTATCTATCTCACTAACAGTTGTATATAGTAACTTACTTCTGGTGCTGCTTATTCGGTCAGGATTTGGCTGTATCTCACTGCTGTTTTGGAGAGGGGGACTCAAACTACCAAATCTGGATCCAGAGACAGGCTCTGATTTCAGCCTTCTCCCTTCGGGATCTGAGGGAAGGGGAAGGGAGGGAAGGCAGGGATCCAGGTTTGGGGTTGGTCCACGTCAAGGATTCTGTTTTAAGAGTTTTGATTTGGGGGTTTGTTAAACTGTAGTGAACACTCCTAAAAAACAAAAGAAAGAAAAAAAGAGCAATGTTTTGTGTGAAGGGGGATGAAATGGACTGAACAGTATCCCAAGGTCTCTGCGGACTGTAAGTATTGTCATTTGGGACAGGGATTACAGCTTCAGTGCCAAAAGACTGGAGGGACCAAAGTCCTTCCCCACACCAACTAATCCTACAGTGTAGTCACCAGCCCCTTTTTGCACCAGTTTAAGCAAATCCTGCCACCATCCAAAGAGTCCTGCGTCACTCTGCATTGTCATTTGAGTCCGGTTGGTTTTGTTTTCTGCTTTTGCAGTTGTAAAGCACTGATTGCACTGTGAGAACACGCTGAATCCTCTGGCCTGGCAGCCAGCCCCGTCGGTTGCTGCAGGGCGCAGGACACAGGTTCTGCTCCTACAGATATTCCTCTAAAGGGAGAAGGGACTTGGTGGACCTGAGAGAGGCAGCACAGGCTCTCCTGGGGCAGCAATCAGCGAGTAATCCATCCTTCCAAAGCTTAGAGCACTCCCAGGCTTTTCCCTGTTACTAAAGTCCATACCCAGATGCACTAGAAAACATACCGAGGTCTGTTCTGTGATGAACAAGGAGAGGAGTTTTAGTCCCGGGAGGTGGGAAGTGCACTGATGCATTCAGCCAGGACGGCCACGAGGTGTGGATCGGATGTGCCCTGCAAGGGGCTCGTCCCCCCGGCGGTCCCGGGACGGGGGTAGCAGCCCCTGGGAGACGCCTCTCTGCCCAGCGGTGTCCGGCAGCTCCACCGCGTCCCTGCCCCGGCCCTAACGTGCCGCTTTGCCCGGGGAGCGCCAAGCAGAAAGTCCAGAGGGAGCAACTGTGACGGTGTCCCTGGGGTGGGCGGCAGGGCTCCCGCGCGGCACGCCGTCCTTCCCGCCCCCAGCAGCTGCTGGGGTCAGCCTCCTCCCCAAAGCTTTCCCTTCAGAGCGACACAGCCCCGGCCCGGCCAGCTCTGCGACCCAACATGGGTCGGAGGGCAGCGGCCTCATGGCCACTGGTCCCCGGGAAGGGGCACGGCCCATCTCCACGTAGGTCTCTGACTCTTCAGGGCAATTTCGGAGGAGCCTGCGCGGCCACGGGGCTTGGACGCATGGCGCTGCCCCGCTCCAAGAGCCGCCCAGCCCTGCCCTCACCCTGCACCGAGAACTACTGCCTTTTTCTTTTCCCTCGGGAAAAATCACACATCGGGGAGAGGGAGGACAACAGCAGCATGCTACCGTGCAGCTCGAGGGCTCTAGAAACCAAACCCAATCTTGAGGGCGTTGCACAACAGCCAGAAACCGCCACGCTTTGAAAAAGGGTGTCACGTTCAAGCATTGACTTTCACAGATCACCTGAGCTGTGACATCGCTGT